CTGGATTCTTGACAGTGGAGCTGTTTGTCATTTGACTCATAAATCAGCTATTTTCTTCCCTAGGTGCTTCAAAACACGGCTATGCGAATGGAGAGAAATAGTCAGTTATGGGAGAAGGAACAATTTACGTTTCAGGTTTGGAAAGGGAACTACAGTGGTGCCTCGCTTAATGATTTTAATTGGTGCAAAAAAATCACTATGGGAAAACATTGCTAAGCGAAACGCATTTTCCCATAGAGATGCATTGAAAACCGGATAATCCATTCCAATGGTAATGGATTGCCATCCTTAAGCAAAAATTGCCATAGGAAACATCGCTAAGCAAAACGCGGTTCCCCCATTGGAATGCATTGAAACCTTTTCCATGCATTTCAATGGGAGAGGGAAAAAAATAACCAAAAATTCAAAAAGAGCCAGAACGAAGCCAAAGTTGGTTAACAAAGGGTTTATTAAGTGCACTAACGCTTTCAAGCACTCTAAACCCTTTTAAAACAGTTTAACACCTTTTAAAAATAGCGAAAACGGAACTGTCAAAAACATCGCTAAGTGAAACGGGGGGACCTAAACTGTCATCACTAAGTGAAGCAAGGTCCCAAACATCGCTATGCGAAATTCGCCCATAGGAAACATAGTTAAACGGAGTGCAAGATCGCTCTGGAAAATCAATCATTAAGGGATTACATCATTAAACGAAGCAATCGCTAAGCGAGGCACCACTGTACATGGTGTTTTGCATGTGCCCAATTTAGACTGTAATGGAAATCAAGGAAGCCAGGTTCTGTTGCCACATCCACTGCTGAAGCACAGTTTGCTACTCTTTCAGAAGTGTGTTCAGAGCTGGTGTGGTATAAGCAAGTGCTTACAGATCTGAAAATTAAAGTGGATCAGGCCATAACAGTGTTTGAGGACAACACTACATGTATACAGATGGCAACCACAGAAAAAAATGAGAAGCAAAAGCAAACACATTGATATTAAATATCACAACGTTAGAGAAGCAATAAAAGAAAAACTAATTCAACTGCAGTATTGTGAAACAGTAACTGTAGCAGACATTCTAACTTAAATCACTGAATGTGCAAAGACACAGAGAACTAACTAAAGAGTTCTGCTCAGGTACAAATTAGAAGGAGTGTCAAGGATAATTTCCACACTGAGTCAGAACAAGGCCTATAATAATTAGCAGCCACATTTGACAGGTGTGCAAAAAGGTGAATCATGCAGAATGTGTATTATATGAAGTAATGTCTGGGGTGATGCAATGTCCTTACTTATTAGCTATATGTAAATTGTGCATGTGTATAACTGTGGACATGTGGAGAAGATGTAGGATCTCTTCTAATGAATGTCATGCTGCCAGTTTGTACTGCTAAAAACTTCTGTATATATTGTAAATATACTTGATGTTGGAAGAAGCTTTATTTGTATGTGTGATTCAACTGGACTGGGACAAAACTCTGCAAATTTACTAACAAAAGAGGACATAAAGGTATTTTAAAATAAAGCTTCTGTATATATTGTAAATATACTTGATGTTGGAAGAAGCTTTATTTGTATGTGTGATTCAACTGGACTGTCTGGACTGGGACAAAACTCTGCAAATTTACTCCAAAAAAAGAGGACATAAAGGTATGTATTTTAAATAAACATTCAAAACGTTAGCTCTCTCTCATAGTTCAAAAATGTCATTCATCCCCCCAAACTTAGGAATCATAAAACATTCATCCAGTGAGAACAGATACATTTCCTCCAAAAGTTTTTGATAAATCAACTACAAGGAGGTTAGTGGGGACACCTTGAGTGGGCCATCTGCCCTAGCCAGGGCCCCAATAGGATGCCATACCAGCATTTTAGGGGACATCTGCCCTAGCCAGGGCCCCAATAGGATGGCATACCAGCAGGACAGACTCAGGCTGCAAGACATCGCGATGCACACAAAGGCTGATTCCCAAGAGGCAAAGGAGGAGTCCTCTGAGTTCACATGTGTCCTGAAGAACAGTGCAACTCAAATGGAGAAGCATAAGCAAAGCATGCCATTTAAATACTCCCCCATAGCACTTAAAGCACTCTCTGGGCAGTTTACAAGAATTATGCAGGCTACACGTTACAATCCCCGCCCTCCGGTAAGCTTGAATATTCCTGCCAAAACCAGAGGCAATGTAGCAGGCCCTACCCTAGGACAGACTTTATTACCCAAAGGCCAAAGATTGCAGCCAATTTGATCCCAACAGAACATTCTCTACAGGAGAGAGGAGGAGGCAGAGAGGTTGAGTGCTAGGGGATAGAAGGGAGGAACTGGGGGAGAAGGCAGCAAGAAAATGAGAGGGAAAGGAGTCTCCTCTGATTTTGGAGGAGGAAAGGACTTTGGGAGATGCCTAAGAGGAGTGGGGGAGGTCTAGGAGGTTGAAGGAGATTCACATGAATCCCCCCAGGGAGTAGGATTATGTGGTAAAAGAAGACACTTGGACAGGGGAACTGGTGAAGTTCAGGGTCCCAAAGGGGGAGGGACCCAAACATCGGTATCCTTGCCTTCCTCCTCCATCTCACGGGGAGAGAGATGCCCACAGTGGAGCCTTCTCTTGTCTCACTGAAGGAGAGCCGACTATGACCTAGCTATGGCACTGGAGACAACAATGCCAGAAGGCCCACTGATGCATCTCTAGGAGCAGCAGCAACAGATGAGAACATCCTAGTGCCCAGCTGGAGGGCCACTGATATATCACATGCCTTACTCTCATTATGCACGTTACAGACCTTTGCTTCTCTGGACCACCAATTTCAAAACCATCTGGTGCCCAATGTTAAGGAGGATGTTAGCTCCTAACGCCCCAGTGGCAATCACTTAGGGGAGCCAAGGAAAGAGGCTGAATTTCAAAACCATCTGGTGCCCAATGTTAGGGGAGCCAAGGAAAGAGGCTCACCTGGGCCAGGCTAGTGAAGCCAACCAGCCCCAGAAATGAAATGCTGGTGATTTCTTCAGAGTTGATATACCTTCTGATTCAATAAATCCTGTTGTTGTTAACTCTAGTGTTGACTCCCTGGATGCAGACATGGAGAAAGGGCCACCCACTGACCCAGGGAGGTTCGCCGGAGCTCAAATCAACATTTGTGCCAGTTTATTTTGCTAAGTGGTGTACTTGGGACTTACAACTGGATTTATTTATGGAAGTCAAATAGCACCCGCTCTTTTGAGTTTTTTAGAGCATCTATAAGGCTTTATAGTCATTTCAGCTTCATGCTGCTTAACAGCAGGTACAGGGTTGTAGCTTCAATATCATAATACAGTGATGCCCCGCATGACGACGATAATTCGCTCCGTGAAAAATCACTGTTTAGCGAAATCATTGTCATGCGAAAACCCTTTCCCCATTGGAATGCACTGAAACCCGTTTAATACGTTCCAATGGGGAAAATACCTTGCTGTCCAGCAAAGATCGCCCCTAGGGAAGCCATTTTGCTGTAAAAATGGCTGTCCTGCAAAGCATGGGTCCGGAAAACACAGGGCGGCCATTTTGCGAAGCCGACAATCAGCTGTAGAAATCGTCATCTTGCGAACAAACGGTCCACGAAGCACGGACCAAATCAACGTCCAGCGACAATTGGCCATTGAAATCACTCTTTTGCGAATCACTATAACGATCGCAAAACGTCATCGTTATGCAGATTCGTCGTTTAGCGGGGTCGTCGTCTATCAAGGTACCACTGTATGTTTGAATGATTTCATACAGCAGCCTGCTAGTAGCTTTAGTCATTCTACAGTGTAAAATTCACAATTAATTGTGCAAAAAATTCCAAGACAATAAGCCTCTTCCTCATACCCTATAGTAGCAAATTCAGCTAGTATAAACAGGATTGTAATCAAATGGAGCACCTGAGAATATTATCACGCTCAGTGAAACTTCTAAGTCTGCCAAGGCACAAAAGATTGTGTAAGAGTAAAATGCAGGGTGACCAAATACTCAAAATGGTCCAGTGATGACTGAATAGTGGCTACAGAATAAGACATTTCAGCAGCAAGGAAAGTAAGTAACAGAAAGAATTGGGGAGAAGGAGAAAATGGAATAAAATATCCTAGAAGATATGGATGGATGTTTGCCTTATATACTGTACAAGAGTATTCCATGCCTATTGCAAATCCTACTTGGTATCTATTCTGAAGAGATTCCTCAAGATAGCAGAGTTAAAGTGGTCAATACTGTGGTCATATAAACTGAAATTTCCAGAACTTTATTCCATTTAATTTAGAAATTCTGCATTTTAACAAAACACTACCAGCATTGCAATTTGAGATTTTTGGGGGACATCTGTCTTTGATAAAAATTGCTGTTAGTCTTTCTGCTGTAATCACTGAGGCTTAACTATATACTGTATTCTGATTAATACTTTTCTTAAACTATATCACTATTTTCAGGAATGGGTAAAATATGATTCAAAATTACATTATATACATCATTATATCATTTCTTAAATAGAAAAATTCCAATTCCAATAAATATTCTTAATTGTTCAGGCTATTGTTTTGTTCTTCTAAAGCTCTTATTAAAACTACAAAGAGAAAAGATTAATGCCTTATTTTCTCATAATGCAGTGCATTATGTTTTTAACACTAAACGTACTTCATCAAGATGTTTCCTAAAGAAATAATGCCTCATTATTGAACACCAATATGGAATTTTTACTTGCTAAAATCCTATTTTACTATAACTGCTATACATATTTATGTATGCATACAGATCAGCTAATTAGTAAATTTGCATACCTGTCTGAACAGCAGTGTCCTTTCGAGGAGAGAGAACAGTGTTGCTCTCTGGATGTGCTATATTACTATTTATTCCAGAACAGTGATCAGTCACATCCAAAAATCCATTCAAGTCGGTATAAGAAGTGTTATATGATGTATCACCTACAGGAAAGGGAAAAATGTGGTTACAATAAATAATGCTCTATATTCACTGACAGTCGCTGAAATCCTGTTGCATAACTTACACTGGTTGAAGGGTGATGATGTCCCTAGCAGAGGGTGATTTTCAGTAATTAAGGTCTTCCTACCTCTGCCCCATGAAATTCCCGACTCCCATGGGAACTGTGAGATGGAAGAAGGAAATCTTTACTCACCAAAATTTTTCCCTTCTGCTAACAGCAGCAGAAATTTTCAGTAATTCCTCCACAGCTTCTATGCAATGAACGGGATTACATAGGAGTCAGAAAAGCCATGGGAAAGAAGAAGTTTTTAATTGCCAAACTAAAAAACCTCCCTTTGACAGTGGCATCACCTTTGACAGACACAAGTTATACAACAGAATTCCAGCCATAAGCTTAAAATTCATGTTATGTTTCATAGCCATAATTCATTAGTTTCAACATTGAAATAAAACAGTTCTGAATTGACAGCATAGTTAAAAATAAGGAACTAGGGATTATTGTATTTCTACTCATCTTGACTACACCACGCCTGAAGTTTCAGTACTACTACTATGTCAGCATATAGACAGATTTGGCTATGTGGTGGATTCATTCAGCTTTTGCAGTGGCAATAGGGGAGAAAGAATGCATGTCACATTGAAGTGGCAACTGAATAATTGCTAAAGATATTCCTAAACATTTTAATGTACTGTACTTCCTGCTGTCCTGAATGAGTGCCAAAAAGCTGCTGGGAGGGGACAGTTCAGGAGGACACTGAAAGGAATGCAGTTATTCCAAATACATATCATTAGGCTTAGTTACAATAGGGAAGTGAGAGCTGGATCATAAAGAAGGCTGACCATCGAAGAATTGATGCTTTGGAATTGTGGTGCTGGAGAAGCCTCTTAGAAGAATTCTGGACTGTGAAGAGAACAAACCTATCCATTTTGAAGGAAATCAATCCTGAGTGCTCACTGGAAGGACAGATCCTGAAGCTGAGGCTCCAATACTTTGGCCATCTCATGAGAAGAGAAGACTCCCTGGAAAAGACCCTGATGTTGGGAAAGTGTGAAGGCAAGAGGAGAAGGGGATGACAGAAGACGAGATGGTTGGACAGTGGGGCTACCAGTATGTGTACCAGCGACAGTAGGGATGGTTGGTCACTGAGGCTACCAGCATGAATTTGACCACATTCCGGGAGCCAGTGGAAGACAGGAGGGGCTGGCGTGCTCTGGTCCATGGGATCACTTAGAGTTGGACACGACTTAACGACTAAACAACAAGAACACAGTAGGGCAATGGTCCCCAAACTTGGGCCTCCAGATGTTCTTGGACTACAACTCCCAGAAGCCTTCACCACCACCTCTCCTGGCCAGGATGTCTGGGAGTTGAAGTCCAAGAACATCTGGCGGCCAAAGGTTGGGAACCACTGCAGTAGGGTATGATACATAACCGAGGCTTTATGACAACCACAGGCCTTTGAAAATTAGTAATTGAAAACAGGAGAAAGCAGCATATATTTTATTTGTGTTTAGTTACCCAGTAGCAATGAGAGATAGATCTACTCAGCTCTGTATAATAACACAATTCAAAGCTGGTACTTACCACCACCAAAATTCTTCTGCAGTTTGGAAATATCATGCCCTTTCTCAGCTAGTTCTTTAATACGCTGTTCCTGTTTTAATCTCTGAGCCTGCTCCTGAGCTCTTTGCATTGTCTGATATAGTTCATTAGTTTTAAGGATCATCATTTCCTAACATGAGAAAGAAGATACAGACAGGAGAGGTTTAACACAGGAACAAGGAAATCTTGAAGTTGTCATAAACACAACCCATTTGATTTGCATATTATGTGGATTTTTAAAGGAGGCAAAATGTGAAAAGAAACATATATTTATACTGACATCTTGAAAAGAGATTTTCATTTAAAACTATATCCTTGTATCAGCTAATGGAGTATAGATTTTCTGGACAGGGATGATGCCAAAGGCTGGGCTTTGGGTAACAGTTTCAGCCATGAGCTGGAGGAGAAACCTAAACCTGGGATCAAAGCATAAGATAAAATTAAACTAGGAGACAAGAGCACAAAGGATATAGAAATACACCAGAGTATAGGAAGGTCCCCCCGTCATCGTTTGAAATTTGAGTTTATGGAGTGTTGAAATGATTAGGGAATTGAAGGGGAAAAGTACTTTGAAAAAGAAGATGCTTTTAAAATGTGATTTTGAGTCAGTTGTTTCCAAAAACAAGCATGTTATTTCCATCCTGCTGAGACCAAGGACAGTGAAATGATAACATGGCTTTAAAGTATTTCATTCACTGTGTGACAGGTTTTGCATGTAATGTAAACAAATTAATTAATTAATTAATTAATTAATTAATTAAATACCCCGCCTATCTGGTCACTGCGACCACTCTAGGCGGCTGATGTGATTCAAAGGAAAAACATTTGGCAGCTGAATGGAGAAAAGAATATTTTGTAACCCAATAGTGCCATATTTGAGAAAGTGTAAAGAACAATTGGAATTTCATTATTATGATACTGATAAGTAAACAAAAATACTAAATACTAGTCTTGTACAGATAAAACTTAGTCATAACAAAGATTGCGAATTTAAGGAAACTGAACAGATTGCAGTGAACAAAGATTTGTATCAGAACGTATAGAAATGTCTACTGTTAGAAAACTTTGGTCATCTTACAGAAAGGTTCCTTTTCTGTAAAAGAGTAAGAAGGCCCTGGGGTTTTGCCTCCTGTGAGTGATAGAGTGAATGTAGTGCTTCCACTATGTTTTTGCTCATATGTCTTCAGTTTCTTATCTACTTTGTCTCTCAGGTAAAACGGACAAAGCAGAAAGAAAAAAAAAATACGCAATGCGATTAAAATCAGAGTGTCTGTCTTTTCTGTTTCTCCAAATAAGTTTGTTATTACCATATTTGCCGGCATACAAGATGACTTTTTGGGCCCAAAAAACATGCCTCCAAGTGGGGAGGTCGTCTTGTATGCTGGGTGCACTTCATTTGGGCCAGGAAGGAGCCGCCGTTGAGTGAGTGACACAGGGCCACGCTGGCCGGGCAGGCAGGCAGGCAGTCGGTCTGGATGGAGGGAGGGAAGCACAGCCTGCCATGCCTGAGCGGCCAGAGCCCACCGCCAGGCTGCCCACCGCCCCGTGCCGCTGAGCCAGCTGCCCCCTTGCCGCCTGAAAGCCGCTTCCCCTCCTTCTCCTCCACTGCTGCCGCCCGCCTGCTTCCTCTTCTCCTCGCCAGCCATAAACTTCCTGGGTGGGCCCAGGCAGAGCCCTGGGCAGCCGCTGCCGGCACCGCAGCAGAGCCGTCCACTCTATATTTTGAGTGGAAATGTTGGGGGGTCGTCTTATACGCCCAGTTGTCTTGTACGCCAGCAAATACGGTAGACTGTGTAGCAGTTGCACAGTCCCAGGATGCTCCTTTATTTTATATTTTATGACTAAAATATTTGCCAACAACCTAAATTCAGTATTCATATATTTTAAGTATGCGTGCCTATAGTTTTCTTAACAACTGTAAGACTGCTGGATGTTACAACAATTCTGAACTATTTTATGCATATGAAACATAAAAGCAATGTAGAGAAATAAAGCTTTCAAAAATAGGCAAGATGATGTTGCCTGGAATTATTGCAACAATGAACAGATTAATATCTTGATACTCAGATGGATATTAATAAGTTTGAGATTGTTTTGTTTCATTCTGGGATTAATCCTTAATTGGAATAAATTCCAGCTGTGGCAAATGCAGGCTTTTTATTCCCCCACCCCACCCTTGGAGATCTATGGAATTTATACAGGATTCTCTCTCTCTCTCTCTAGCACCCAGTATCTAGGTCTGATATTGTTGATTCAACAAGGTTTAACAGAACTAGAAGCACACATTTTGCTTCCTGTCCAAGAGAACAAAACAGCCAACTTGCACAAGTGGGCTCAGCACACGTTCTGAAAATATTACGCTCTCTTTGTAGAGACTGCAGCAGTCAGTTAAGCAGCTCAGCACAGGGCAGTTAAACATAACCTGAAAAGCTCCCAGTTCAAGACCCAGCAGCTCCAAACAAAAACAGAACTACAAATTAAGGCACAGGCCCTCCCCCAATACCTTTTGATGGTTTTATGTTTTTATGTATGTGAGGAGGAAAAAAGGAATATTAAATTCTTTTAGAATGATGAATGAAGTGTTTTCAGACCAGGTACTGCTGTTTGGACTATATACCTACCCAATTTCTTCTATGCACAGTTCTTCAAGAATTGCCCAAGCAGAATGCTAAGAGCTCCACCCCACAAACCCACACCTACAGACTTTTGTTTCATCTGGATCAGGGGCTAGCTCTAAGGGTGTGTATCTGAGCTCCAGCCTTGCTTCCTGTTGTGAATGTATTTAAAAAGAAGGTGCTGCGGTGCTTCCTTGGGAGCAGTAGTATTGCTGCCCTCAAGAAGTCTTCTTGAATAACTACCGTACCACTCAAAAGAAAAAATGCCATGGCAGCTTTTTTTTATTCTCAACTGAAAGCAAACCCAGAGCCATTAGCAAAGCAAAATGAGTTCCTCCCCCTTTTTAAAATAGAACCAGTATTTTGTAAATTGTTTTTTTTAACCCACCGTCATTTGACAAATTGTTCAATTTATATGCTACACTAGTACTATGTGAGATGTGTACCTCTTTTTGCTTTTGTCTGAGTAGATCTTCCTCAAACTGTTTCTTCATCACTTCCTGTTCTTTTGCAAGGCGATACTCTTCTTCTTGCTCCTCCTGTTTTCTTTGTTCTTCTTCAAGTTGTTTCTTCTTCTGCTTTTCTTCCACTTGAGCCATTATGGCTTTCTTTAAAAAAAATCAAATGCATGGTGAAAAGCTGCTAAAATTTGCTATCTTTGAGGGGGGTACTCTTTCTTTACTCTTGCTTGGGTGTACTTTTGGACCGAGTGCTATCAATGGCATCACAGGTAGCATCTGTGGTCCGTTCCGCTTATTTCCACCTAAAGTGGGTCACCCCTACCTTGACCACATTTGCTTCCGTACCAGTTTCAAGGTAATGGTGCTAACCTATATGGCCTTAAACGTTTTGGGACCTCAATATCTGGCCGAGCACCTCCTTCCAGTTAGATCTGCCCACCCTATAAGATCATCCCAGGTAGGACAGTTGAGAGGCTTGGAAAACAACCACTAGAAATCAGGCCTTCTCAGCAGTAGCTCCATAACTATGGAACTCTCTTCCACCTGAACTCTGCCTGGTCCCTTCACCGGGCACATTTAGGAAGGTGTTAAAAACCTGACTATTTAAGCAGGCTTTCTCTGAACAAACAGCTGTATGGTACAACAGTGTATGCAAAATTATCATCCATCACACTGCCACACTTATGGTCTCTCATATTTTATGCTTTTAACTGTAATTTATTGTATTGTACTTGTTTTACTGCACTTTATGATATTTGATTTCTGCCCCAGTTGTACTATTATTATTTTGTATATGTATTATTTTGTTGCTCTGTTGTTTTATCAGCCGCAAACCGCCCAGAGTGGCCCTGGCTGCCAGATAGGCAAGATATAAAGCAAACCGCCCAGAGTGGCCCTGGCTGCCAGATGGGCAGTATATAAATCAAATCAATCAAACAAACAAACAAATAAAAATGACATGTAGGAGTCTATGATGGCTGGTTATATTTAAATGCATTTACAGTCATGCCTCGCTTTACGATTGCCCCGCATTACAACGATCTTTTTGCGATTGCAATTGTGATTGCTAAACGATGGTCTAAACGGGTTTTTTTCGCTTTGCGATGATCGGTTCCCTGCTTCGGGAACTGATTCTCCGCAAAACGACGTTTTTTAAACAGCTGATCGGCAGTTTCAAAATGGCCACCAGGTAAACAAAATGGCTCCCCGCTGTTTTCTGGGACGGATTCCTCGTAAGACAGGCAGCGAAAATGGCTGCCCTATGGAGGATCTTCGCTGGGCAGTGAGTTTTGACCCCATTGGAACGCATTGAAGGGGTTTCAATGAGTTTCAATGGGTTTTTTTCGCATTACGATGTTTTCGCTTAACAGTGATTTTCCTTGAACTGATTATCACACCATTATGTGAGGCACCACTGTATATGGTTTGATCGGCAGTTTCAAAATGGCCACCAGGTAAACAAAATGGCTCCCTGCTGTTTTCTGGGAAGGATTCCTCATAAGACAGGCAGCGAAAATGGCTGCCCTATGGAGGATCTTCGCTGGACGGTGAGTTTTGACCCCACTGGAACGCACTGAAGGGGTTTCAATGCGTTTCAATGGGGTTTTTTTCGCACTACGATGTTTTCGCTTAACAGTGATTTTCCTGGAACGGATTATTGCCATTATGCGAGGCACCACTGTATATGGTTTTTTAAGTATGTAATGGAACGGGGTGAGCGAAGAACTTGAAATGCTGGTAAAGGAATGGTTCTGACTGGGAAAGAAACTAGATAAGGAGTGGGTTTGTGAGCTAGTCTTGCATCTGGTGTGGCGAGAGTGGGGAGAGGGAGGTTTTGGAGTCTTGAGTGTAAAAGAGAAATCAGAGTGGTGAAAGAGGTATTAGAGTGAAGGATTTTGCTGAATAACCGAGAGTTGATTATATGGCCTACTGTTACAAGGTCCTGAGCGAAATGACAAATACACACACACACACAGGGGCAAATGAAGGTTAGTGGCAGCAAAAGGCAGAAAGGAATGAAAGATTATTAAAATAGTTTATTTCTGTGATGATTTAAAGAAACCATTACTTAGTCAAGTGACAAAACAAAGGAAGTTGGACATTGCTGTCAGAGAGATGTATATGACCGATGTAATTTATCTATACACATAATGTATTAAATTAATATATTTTTTCTATTTTCAACTACCTCAACTATTCTGTCGATAATATTAGACTTTTTACTCCCTCTGTCAGTATTACAATTATTAAGGCTGCATTTATCTGGGTTTATCTGCATTTATAAAAACAAACAACTACTCTTCTCTTTTTTAGCTTCTGCAATGTTAAGTCTTCAATTATTTTGAAAGTATATGTGAAGGGAAAGACCAGAAGTTCCGGGTCTTTCTGGTAGAGCCGTCTCTCATTAAGACCTCCAAACAAACCCAGACCAGTCCACTGACTACCTTAAGCCGTAAAAGAGATCAAGGTTCAGATACCCATGATTTAGAGGAGGGAAATCTACAGGGGAAAAGGGGTGTCAAAAGTGGTGGACACCCGAGAGCTGGAAGAGAGATGGAAAGGGTTAAAAATAACTAATCCTTTCAAGGAAGAATTGGCGGGAAGGAAAGAGGTTCATGAGGTGGTGGAAGAAGGGGGGCTGGGAGAGATCAAGGCAGAATGGGACAACATCCCAGGAGGTTGGGAGTGGATTTGGATGAAGGACCCATGGACGGGAAAATGGGAACAAGTCCGGGTACCTAAAGCTGAAGCTTTGCCCCCAAAACCATCGTACTGGGGTGAGTCTGAGACTTGTGAATGGAGAAGAAAAATCAGGGAAGAGAAAGAAGCTATTGCTAGAGAAAGAGAGGCTGGCCGGGCATGGCATTTAGAAGAGCTGAAGAAGATGGGATGCTTTCTGGACCCTGGAGCGACCCGACAAGAGAGGGAGACCCGTCCTGGGGATGGATGGGAGATGAAGAGACCCTCCTGCTTCTGAGTGCAACTGACCATGGTTTGGGAACTGAGGGTCAGGGACAAGTTTGTGCCGGTCCATGGGACCAGAGCTTGGGAAAACGTTATGGAAGAAAGCTTTTGGTTGCCCTTGCGAGAGCCGTCGCTCGAACAAGAGACTAGTTTGAACAAACCTGTTGTGGTTAAAACCCCGTTGGGTGAAGTAACAAATGACAACAAGCTATTTGACAAAGTGTCTGATGTTGTTTTATTAAAAAAGAAGGAAGCCCAACCGAATGACCCTTCACAGTATATTAGAAAGACATTTCCAACCCCATTCAGATTCAATGTTAATTGTATCCAATGGAAAGTACATTCTAATACATTTAACACAGGCAAGACATGGGCTTTTATATTTTATAAGCAACTACTTCAGAAGGAAACCATAATAGAGAGTCCTTTTGTTCTGTTGCGACTTTAAACAGCCTGCTACTACTTTAAACAGGCTTTTCATCAAATACTTACGCATGCTATAAGTCTCGTGAAAACAGCCACAACAGTCCTCTTTAAGCCAGTTTATATCTCCATAACTCTTTCAAAAGGTAACAGTTTCTTACTATGTCTATGAGAAAAGCTATTTTGTCATAGCTTAGCTACATTTCTTCTTTTTATGTGCTCTATTCATTCATTCTGGTCAGACATTAATGCCCTGTTGCCTTGGGTAGAAAAACTAGAAATAAAGAGTACCATCTTATCAGAATTTACTGATTCTAACCTGATGCTCTAGCTGTTTCTGGCGCCGCCTCTCTCTTTCCTCTATTTGAGCAGGATCCAGAAGTGCAGTCATTGAACGAAGGAAACTATAAATAGAAAAATAATGTTACACAATTATTTAAGCAAATGTATTGATGTTTGAACTGCAGCCAGGAATTTTTGCTACACTTGTAGCTCTGAGTTGGATTTTTCGGTAGCTAGTTGTTGAAAGGAAAGGGCTGAACTGTATGGGCAGTAAACGTCGCTGATCAAGCCCGGAGCAGCCCCTTGCAAGGGAGGTGAAACAATGGAAGACTAATGAGTTTGTAACATCCAATTGCCCTGTAAGAAACCTTTCTACATTACCTATAGTTTCCAGCATTATCACTAACAACAGATTTGCTTCATTGAGAAATGAAACCCTCTTTTCTCCACTGGGCGCTTGTGACTTATCTGCAATTTCTACTCCTTACACACCCCCTACCCTCAAGAAAGTACTGTTCTCCTCTGAAAGAAACCATCCCAACTTCCTAGCCAAACAATGTCTCTTAACAGCTCGAACAGTAATAGCCATCTTCGAAAACTTACAAGAGGTCTGTAATCAAATGAACTCAGTTGAAAGTGCTCTGGGGAAACTCGCTGAGACCCTTCTTCAATCAACGGATAATACACAAACCAGGGGGTTCAAAGAAAGGGCGGTTGGTAGATTTAGCAGCAAAGATAGCATGCAACAACTGGCTCCACAACAATTGGCTTCCCAACTGAAAAGGGAGACAAAATCCTCAAAGATCTTATAGAGGACTCAGGTGATACTGCAAACTGTTCCAATCAACACCAACAGAAAGAGATGAGAGACACACAGCTCAGTGACGATCTCCTTGAGTCAACTGTTAAATATAGAAGCTCAGAAGACAGACCTCAAGAATATTCCATGGCTCCTAAATAAGTATGGTCATTAAAGAGTTTGAATGCCCAGATTGAATGGATTTGCCAAGACCCTGAATCTATATTCAAAAAACTTTTATTAACTAATGATGACCCCAAAATGATAACTGGAGGTGATTTTAATTCCAGATTGGGTACAAATGACTTGGCTCTTTATGCTGCTTATAACTTATGCCCTCCTGATGGACTACACTTCTCCACAGTCACTAGGCCCCTCTTTAAAGATACCATCAGTAATTATGCAGGTCTTAACTTGGCACAGCTAGTTTATTGGCTTAACCTACATATATTAAATGGAAGCACTACAGGTGACATACCAGGGGAATTCTCTTTCTGGTCAGGAACGAGGATAAGTACCATAGATTACATGATTGTCAGCCATAGTATATTGAATACTGTCATCAATCTGGTGATTGACAGCAGGATTGATAGTGATCACCTGCCATTAAAATTGCATCTGAAGTTACAAGAATGCCATATTCATATTGAGAAGGCCTTGCCTATGAATCCTGAGATGATACTAACCAATTCCGGGATCAAATGGTCAGGAAAAGCCTCAATTTACTTTACTAATCAACTCAATAATAATTAGTTCTCTGAGATCCATTCCACCTTTCTCAAAGCGGGCTGAAGTAGCAACATAACTGTGCTGTACGAAATACTAATAAATAAACTAGTAGATTTAGGTGGTACAAACAACTCAACAATACTATCAGGCGTAGACCCTATAACTCAGGGGTTATCAACCCCTGTTCTGCAGCCTGGTGCTGGTCCGTGGGCTTGCCGGAATTGGGCCATGGATACAGATCTCCACCTCCCTGCACGCACATGTGGGGTGTGTGTCATGCATGCACAACACACACCCCCACAAGCACGACACACACACCCCGCAGGAGCAACACCCCCTTGTGCATGGAGCTTGCTCCCCCCAACCAGTCCGCAGTGCCAAAAAGGTTGAGGACGACTAACTGGTTTGAGTGTATGGATGCAAAAACCCCTGGT